TACCATATTGAAAAATATACTATTTTTGTATGATAATTATGGGTTTTGTATTTTATTTTAATAGAAGTTGATGTTGCTTTTGCAATTATCCATCAATTTTTTAAAATTAAACACTATCTACAGATTTGCATCGAAGCGTTTCTTATGATAGTGATTTTAATCACTGTCAGATTAAATCTACACTGGACCCTACTATGCAATGTCTCTACTATGCCGCGACCCCACTGTGCTACCGTTTTTTATTTATTGCAATTAATACACCACCACCTCGTTTTTTCCCATAGGACAAATTATTACGATCTTTACGATATAAATTATAATTAGTGAAACCAACTTCAGAATCAAAAACATTTTCATTAAGCCAAGTTTCAGTTAAACATATTATATTATAATTAACATTCATTAATGCGTTGCGTAAAAAAGGGATCATTATTAAAAAACCACGGACATTTTGGTAGAAAATATTAATTATAAAAAATTTCCAGCATGGGAATTAAAACAATGATCTTTAGTCACGATGGTAGGAGTTCCTCTTATGTATTTAATGATTAAATTAATTTCACCATTTGATCTACGAGACTCTAGTTCATAAGGAATTTTTTCCATATAGTTTCTCTGATAAAGAGTGGAAGGTGGTTTTAATGATAACAACTTTTTTTTTGACTATTTCAAACACATCAGCTGATGTGCTAAAAACAGCCTTAATTGGGCGGGGATTATTTTTACCATGAATACCAAGACGAATAACTTTAGACGGTCTAATATTCCCACTAGTAATAATCGAATCAATTACATTACTCACAAGATTAGAGTCATGATTAACTCGGTCGACTGCATTATCAAGGTTGGACTCTGGAACGTTTAGTTTTAGTTTTAGTTATTATTGAGGTGGACATAATGCCCATGCACTCAGACCTGTTGGTCCATTGTGCGCACCTTATACCGAATTGTCTTGATTCGGTTTACCCACCTAAGTGTTATCACCAAAGTGTTAATATATTACCAACCATAAAGTCACCTCTAAAAATGACCAAAGAGTCCTGTCTTTCTGGCGAAATTAAGTATCTCTCTGGGTTTTACGTTTTTAATATCCTCTTTTTCAGGAAATGGTTTATTCAAGTAGTTTGATCTTAGTGTGGACAAGGCTTCACATTCGCACATGATGTGTGTGCAATGCCGGCTATATTTTCTTTAGTATCGGCAATTTGCGATTTGTAACCTTTTTGTTTGTTTAATAAATACGATTGACCATACGTATTTTTGGGCATGCCTTAGCGGAAGGAAAGGAAAATAAAAAAATGTGGAACTTGAGCCTTACAATATACTAGTTAGAAAGAAAAACAACATATATATATAATTATAATATGATATTTCCGTTATGATAGAAAAATAACAAACAACAAGAACTAATCATAATGAAATTAGCACAAATTATTAATGAAATAAATAACATTTATCCCCTTTTTTATAACTAATAATATAATTTGTAACAAATAATAAAATATTATGTGGACTGTAAATCCGTTAAAATAAGCAATTAAAAATTCTTAATAATTACCCACTGCCGTTTGAAGGTGATGAACACTGTAACACTTCAGATGCAGGGAAAGCAACAAAAAAACACCGTAACATATAAACAATCCGTTAAGCAACTCAAATTGAATATTGTGGCGAAAAGGCAATACTCGACCCAAAAAAACCTGGTGTCGATATAACCGAAACGGCCGACTAATTGAGCGCGAAATGAATGCTTCACGACCACTGCCACACACTGCTGGGATAGGTCTAAAATAGCAGCGCCGCCGTACCGTTACGAAGGTGGTGGTTTTTTAGTGGGAAAAAACATTGAAGGTCTCGGCGTATATTATATAAAAAACGCGGAATCTCCGGAATACTAGACGGCTACAGAAAAAGATAAAAACAAATTGCGTTGTGTCAGCGGCATACCCGTTGTGACAAACACAAACGTGTATGATGTGATTGACTGACCTGCTCTCCCTCACTTACCGTGTTTTCATATTAAATTAAATATATTGCGTCACCTCACATTAATGTGTATCTAACAATGTGAAATGAGTCTTCCTTTTCTACTCCACACTTCCTGCACAATGGTGATTCCGATACCCCCATTGTGTTAAGATGCTTAAGCAGGTGACCATGTCCTGTCAGTAGACCAGTCAGGGTGCTTATTTGATGTCTAGTCATGCTATTAAGATCACCCAGCAATAAACCAGGGGTCTTGATAAACATTTTAGATTGTCTAGGAACTACCAAGTACTTCCAGATTTTCCAGTGTTGTTCTCTGCGCCAATTCTTGGGTAACGCTTTGAGCGATTGCTCAGTGAGTCCTACCACTGGTTCTAGTCAAACATAGGTGTTCTCTGCTCCTTTCCTGGCTAGAAAGTCAGCATTTTCATTTCCAGTGACACCGTTGTGTCCCGGTACCCACGCTAGTGTAACTTTGTTGAACCTCGATAGTGATTCTTAAGTTTCCCTGCATTCGAGGACCAGCTTTGAATTCACCTGATCGTTACAGAGTGCTTTTAAAGCCGCTTGAATATCACTTAAGATAGTTATCTTCCTATTTTTGTATACCAGCAGGTTCTGAGCCCCTACCAGTATCGCCATCACCTCTGCATGGAAAACAGAGGGTGTTGTGCCCAATGACATACTGACATTT